TGCACTAATGCAGCACAGGAATTGAAAAATACAAAAGCTAAAGCCCTAAAGCATAGCTGGGATCAGGATAAACGCTGCTGTGGGACAAAAAGGGTCCCCTGTGCTTTGTGTGAGTGCAGGAAGGCTGTGCTGTGCCCAGGAGCTGCTCCCTGTGCTGCTGTGAACATTTCACCTGTGCTCTAAAGCATCCCTGCTCTTACTGCTGTGCTCTGTGTGCTCCTAATTGCTGATTTGTTTAACACTTTACTGATTTAAAGAAAAAAAAAACAGATTTTTTTTTTTCTTTTTGTGGGGATAGGAAATGGGAGGGTGAATTTCCTAATTGTGGTTGGGGGATTTTTGAAATTATATGAGGGGAAGATGTAAAATACCCAGCTCTGTGTTTACCCAGCTCTTTTTTATCTGCCCTTTTCTGAAATATCTGCAGAATTATTAAAAATAATACAATAAAAATGAACAACCACTAAGGTTTATGTAACATTTTACACAAAGACATTTGTGTTTCTGTTTGGTTTTGAAGGGTACAAGATTTCATCTACTGACTTTGTTCTCAAAAATTAAAGGAAATGGGCAAACCCCATTCTGTGTATTTTAGTTTATATCCATGTACGGGACATGACAATGAATTAAATAACCCCAGGTACCCTGGCAGAGCAAACAAATGTCCCTTGATGTGAACTGGGGATCTGAGAAACAGAAGGAGGTTTAGCAACTTGTTTGAGGTCATGCAGCAAATCTGTGACTGAGAGAAACTGAGGTTCCCTGGGGCCTATATCCATATTTATTTATATCTATATCTATTTATATCTATATTTTATATAGATATTTAGGTATAAATATATATATAAAAAATAAATATAGATATAGACCCCAGGGAACTTTAGTTTCTCTCAGCCATATATATATAGATATATATATAAATATTATATTATATTATATTATATTATATTATATTATATTATATTATATTATATTATATTATATTATATTATTGAATCTAGCTATATAAATGTATCTATATAAAATATAGATATAAATAAATATAGATAAAATATAAAGCAAAATTACATATAAATAGAAAGATTATACATATAAATTATAACATAAAATATAAAGTTAAAAATTAAAATGTGTTTTTAAAATTTTAAAAAATTAGGATGTAAACTATACATTATAAATATAATAAAAATATAAATTACATAAATACAAATATATAAAATATTATATAGAAATATAACTAGATATACATATAAATGACATATGAAATATAAATTATAATTATAAGTATTAAATTATAAATATTTAATTATAAATATAGATATTGATAAAATTGCAGACCAGCCACCACTTCCCTGCTGCTGGCCTTTCCCTCTCACCCATGGCTGGTTTGGTGGGGCCCCTTTGTGTCCCTGGCACTGTCACAGCCATGCAGGGAGTGCTCCCAGTGCCCTGAGCTCCCTGCCCAGCCACAGGAGATGCCCCAGGGAGGGAATTGCATCTTCCAGCTGCTGAAATGAAATGAAAGAACCTCCCAGCCAGCACTCTGATTTTATGCTTTTGTGCTCTGCTGGGTGCCTGGAGTGTTCAGCCCTGGGGCCTCCAGCATCCAAAGGATGTGGAGCTGCTGGAATAAGTCAAAAAGAGGACACAAAAGTGATGAGAGGGCTGGACCTCTCTGTTCTGGAGCCAGGCTGGGAGAGCTGGGGGGGCTCACCTGGAGAGGAGAAGGCTCCAGGGAGAGCTCAGAGCCTCTCCAGGGCCTGAAGGGGCTCAAGGAGAGCTGGAGAGGGACTGGGGACAAGGATGGAGGGACAGGACACAGGGAATGGCTCCCACTACCAGAGGGCAGGGCTGGATGGGATATTGGGAATTAGGAATTGTTCCCTGGCAGGGTGGGCAGGCTCTGGCACTGCCCAGATGAGCTGTGGCTGCCCCTGGATCCCTGGCAGTGCCCAAGGCCAGGCTGGACATTGGGACTTGGAGCCCTCTGGGACATTTGAAGATGTCCCTGCTATGGCAGGGGGTGGCACTGGGTGACTTTTAAGGCCCCTTCCAACCCAAATTTTTCTATAATCCTTTCTTATATCTCTGGCCCACACACAGGGAGAAGTTCTTACTTTAACACACAACACACTCATGAAAAATTCTGCTCTTGCCCCTGAGGCACCCTCTTATCCTGCAGCCTGTAACACAGGAAATGAAATTCTTTCCTTAAAGGCTCTTTTGCATCTTGACTACCCAAGCCTGGCTCTAAAAAGGAAAACATGTATTTTGACAAAACCTTTCCACTCCTCTCTGACTGTGCCACTCCTGGTGCTTCTGTGCTGTTTTACTCTGTGCCAGAATAACAGCCAGGCTTCTGTTTCTCCCAAGGTGTTGCTATCAGCTGATATCAGTGGATGGAGAGGACTGTGATGAGTTCCATGGCTTTATATTTACATTATTTATATTTATATTTGCTTCATGGCTTTGAGAATTAGGGATTTTATAATTAGGGAATACCATCCTTGTGGTATTCCAATTAAACAAGAAGAGAAGCCTAAGGATAGTCAAGAATTCCTTGCTAGCAGTGGTGAATGACAAAATATTGGAGTGTGCTGGTTAATCCATCCCCTCAATCCCCCCTCATTCCACTCTGGAGGAGGCACAGCATTTTTCCTTCAGTATTGCTGTAAAACATCTTCTGAGGAGCACTGAGAGCCGGGGCTGTCACCATCCCTTCCCTGCCCTGCTCCTCAGGATGAATCATCGCTGCCCTCCTGCCGCAGGGCTGGAAGCTGTCTGCGGCTGAGGCGTGCCACGCTCACAGGAGCACACAGCAGCTATTTGGGCAGACACCTCCAGGGCCAGGGCTAAGTTTGGCAGCAGCAGTGACGTGGGACTGCTCAGCACTGGTGTCACAGCCCTGGCAGCCACAGGCAGGGCAGGGGACAGGGGCACAGCCAAGCCATGGCCCCTCGTGCCTTCAGCAGGGCTCAGAAGGGAAGGGATGAGGGAGATCCGGCTCTAAAAACAAGCTGGGGGTCTGGTAAATACAGCTGGGTAGGTGGAAGAGAGGTGAGAGGTGGAAAAAAACAATGGGAAGGATTCCACTGATTAATTAAAGGAATGACAGAGATTTTTCTGTACAAAGAAAATGGGGGTCTGGTAAATAAAGCTGGGTACTGAGAGATGAAAGAAACAATGGGGAGGATTCCACTGATTAATTAAAGGAATGAGAAACAAACTGGGGGTTTGGTAAATAAAACAAGGTACTGAGAGGTGGAAGAAACAAGGGAAGGATTCCACTGATCCATGAAAGGAATGAGAGGGGTCTGTCTTTAAA